GGTGTTGTCGGCGGTGGCGCCTCGGCGTCGCCCGTTTTCGGCTGGCGGGCTGGGGGGGGGGGGGGGGGGGTGTACGCAATTGAGTGGCATAGTTGTTAGCAGACCATTGACCACGCGCCCTCGAGAGGAAGGGGGCAGCAGGGTAAACGAACCCGGACGAGAGGGAGGGTGGAAACGGCGTCCGTTTGTTGTGCGCTTGCGGGTTCCGTAGCAGTGCTACCAAAGACGACGCACTGCATCCACTCTGCCAAGCTTTGGAGAGACGGCGGACGGCCATTGGGGTCAACAACTGCTTCATTTTGACAGGACTCTTTGGATGCGCTACAGAAAAATAACGGTGCCCACGGGTGTGTGTGTGGATGCCTTCGAAGGTGGTATGCGAGAGCGGCGAGCGCCGGACGGAAAGAGCGACGACGACGTGATTGGCCAGAAACCAATGTATTGCGCGCAATGCCTCGTCTTTCGTTCGAGGTGTCCCAGGTTAAAATCGCGCACACGCGTTAGTAGTCGGGTGCAAAAAAAAAACGCCACCAGCTGTTTGAACAGTTGAACAGTCCGCGCTTCCAGGGAAAACAGAGCACATGACCCCCCCCCCTCCCGTGTTGTACACCGCCGTATCGCGTATATCAGCACAACAATGCACCCAATCCACGCACACAAAAAACACGAGCACACTCTCTTCGAAGGGGCAAGAAGCCGGCCCCACCTCTTCCCGCTTGTCGATGCCAATCCTGAGCTTGTTGCAGTTAGCCGGGCTCGCGTCCCGCACCGAGTCTCTCCCCACCACGATCTCTCCCAGGGGCAGCGCGTACCGGGCGGGCGGCAGGTTCCAGTTGCCACCGCCACCGCCCTCACCGGCCCCGCTCTTCGCCGGCGGGGCGGGCCCCTCCAAGTAGAAGCCGCTCATGTTCGAATCGGAGTCGGTGGGCACTGCCGCCGCGGTAGCCGCTCCCGGGGCCGGAGAAGAATAAGAAAAAGAAGGCCGCTTATCGGTGACGGCGGGCGGAGAAGCGTTGAGGCTGCTGCTGCTAGCGGCCCTGTTCTCCTTCTCCTTGTCGTCGTCGAGGCTAGCAGCCGTCGGCGGCTTCGCCGCCGCCGGTCGCGCGCGCCTGTCCAAGACGCGACCGTTGCCGCTCTTACCACCGGCGGTGGCAGAGTTGTTCGTCGGCGTCTCCCCAAGGAAGACAACGTCACCTGCTGCTGCTGCTGCTGCTGCTGCCTTCTGCTTCGGCGGTGTCTTGAGAGCGGGCGGCGGCGGGGGGTATATTGTCTTCTTCTTGGCGCGGCCCGGCGTCAAGGCAGAAGCTGCTGCGCGCTTCGTCGAAGAAGAAGACGATGGTCCGGCGGTCCGACGGGCGGAGCTCGGCGTGCCGTTGAGGATGCTACCGCTGCTGCTGCTGTTGGCGGCGGCGGCGGCGGCGGTGCTGCGGGGCTCGGACGGCGGGGTGCCGGCCGTCGTGGACGGGGTGCCGATGATGCCCGACGACCGCTTGCTCTTGCCGGCCGTAGGCGGCGACAGAGAAAAGAAGCTCCTGATGTCTGTTTTCGATTTGGCGGGACGGGCAGCGCGAACGACAGTTAGTTGTCGATTGAGGGAGTGGGCGCGCGGGGGGGGGTGAGCGTGGAGCTTGGTTGGTACAAAGTATTCTCCGTTCCTTCAAACAATCCAGTATCAAAATATATCAAGCCATCTCCAGAAAAGTACACACACAATGAGCGACGACGGAAAACCTTACCCTTTGGTGAGAGTACAAGCGCTGGTTCGGGTGGATTTTGTAACGTTTCCGTTTGAACCCCCTAGCTGTGCATTGTTCTTCTCCGACGTGGTTGAATTAATTGTTGCACCGACATTGGGGGGTTGTCTCTGCGAGAAGGTGCGCAACGGGGCAAAACTCTGCTCGCCGTCCAAGATGGTACACAAAGAAGGAGCCGAACCAGACTTCTATGTGTGCAGTTCTACTGCCATTGTGTCTGTATGTGTACATTGCTATGCTAATATTATTAGAATCGACCGCCGCAACCGGCTGAACCCCTTGAGCAGACGCCGGTCTAGTGTGGCTAACGTGTGTGTGTCGCTACAATGTGTGGGTGCAACAGGGGATCCTACAGCGGATACACCGCAGGAGACAATGAGAAGCTCGTTGGCATGAGTACTGCAGCAGCAGCACATGCACTAGCAGCAGTGCAGTGCACACATGGGGACATATATTTTATGTGCTTTGGAGCTGTACACACGGGGTCAACAGGCCGGCAGGCCGGCAGGCCGGCAGGCCGGCAGGCAGGCAGGCAGGCAGGCAGGCAGGCAGGCAGGCAGGCAGGCAGAGGCAAGCACACAATCCCCACGACAAGGAAGGTGCCACACCAATCACAGATCCGCACAGCAGCGGCCGTGAGCCGTGAGGCGACCGGGAGTATGTTTTTCTGCCGCGCCAGGCGACGCTGCTCTTGATGAACTAACTACTCATGCTCCACGATCTCAAGAGCGAAGGGGCAATGCCATGTCTATAGGTGGCACCATGCACAAGCACGAAACGTGCATGTGTAATAAAGCCGGTCCGCACTCTGATCCAGGATGCCAACACTGCTTGCTCCTGGACGTGTAGTGAGCATATATATTGCTGTGTGCCTTGGGCAGGCACATCAACATCGTGCACGCAAGGCTAAAATACAGCCCGTCGCTGGGGTGCCTCTGGACTGCGTCGTTGTTCTTGTGTGTGCGCTCCAACACCGCCGGTCAGTCCGTGTCGTGTCGTGTCGTGTTGTGTTCATTAAGATCCAATGCATCATCTCATCATCTCTCTCCGGCCGTTGTACTTGTAGGTTTCAAGGTCAAATTTCAAATTCAAAATCTCGAGGCGTTGGGAATGTTCGTGCCTTCGCGATTCAACGATTGCATCTGACGCCGACTGGGCCCATGCAACACCGATAGATGAGCAAGCCATCAGAGCTGGATGCAGTCTGGGCCAAGGGGCTGGGCGGAGGTCAAGCTACACACGGTTGGGTCAAGGTGCCCCACAGCAGATCGTGCGCAACCAACTGCTGCTGATCAACAACAAAGCAGCAGCGGTGGGCCTTTCGAAAAAAAAACGCGTTGGAACGAACCCACGCGTGGTTTCGCACGACGGAGCACGCAGCACCGCTGTAGGTGGCTCAGGAGACGCGGTCGACCGTGGCCCCAGCCGTGGCGGAACGCACCCGGCCTTTGCCTTGGTAGGCCACAAAACCAAGCTCCAACAACGAATTCGTCACGCAACGCTTGCACGTCGAGGCTGTATGTATTCAAGCCGGCATTAGAGGGAAATCGTGGAAGACACACCCAACGAACGAAAGCAGCCTACTTGCCTGTCTTGCTTCCGGAGCTCTGCTTCTTTGGCTTCATGTCCTTCTCTTTGGGGAGGGAGTGGGGGTTACCACACACCACCCTTCAACTCCTCCAGCAAATACGTGGTGTCGACGATTACAACTTACAACGGCTGCTGCGCTGCTGCCGAAGCAGGAGGCTCTGGTGGCGTCGGCCCGCAGGTGCCTTTTTTTTTCTGACAAGAGGGTAAAACGCCTCCTGTCATTTTTCTCCATGACAAACAGGAGATTCTGCGCGCGACTTGCTTGCAGGTTCTTGTAGGCCCCCTGGTCATTGCGCTTGATGGAAGGGTTGTATTTATACGTCACATTCATGTTCCGTAGTCAGTGGCGGGAGACTTGTTGATTGAACACATATTTACGATGATTTCTTGTGTACTGATTCGTACATTGATGGTATAAACTCTGTTGACTGATCTCTATTTTTTCGACACTCTCAGCAGTGTACAGCAGTACTCCGGAGTAAGTCGTTTTCTATTCTCTATGCATAGGAACAGCAGTGTTACTCCCATCCCACACACATTACATGGCCATCGCCGAACTGCAGAGATGGCAAATATACAAAAATACCCTACAGTAGCTCTGTCAGCCATATTCCTACTAGATGGCACGTTTGTGTATCTCTTGCGTAAAATAGTACAAAAGACATCCGCCTATCAACGAACGTACACATGAGGGGTTGCAGGAGCACAAGGAAAAGCTGCTGCTGTACAGCAGTAGTAGATACAAGGAGTCCAAACCGAAAACCTAAGCTGAATATACAGTAGCTGGGCAACGGACAAGCCTGCAAAATCGCCGACAAGGGCGCCTTCAACGGTACCACACACCCAATATTGCACGGAAACCTGAAAAAAAAACAGACCCAACATCATGACAATGGTGTTCTACAATCGATGGGCCCACCTCGACATTCTGCGCGCATGCAAGCGACCCATTTCTAGCGAAGTACCCCTACAACGCGGCGGTTTTCCAATCAGAATCCACGTAGTCTACATCCAAGGGGGGGCCTTCGCGCGGCACAGCTTCCTCCAAAACACCGCACGGAGGTGAATGCATTCGCCTCTCCTGGCCAAGAAACCGCATGTACCCGCCGCTAACCCTACTTAGCAACCAGCCCACCCCACGTCGTAAAAGCGTCGCACACGCCCTTCTCGAATATCACTCTGTTAAGAAACATAGGGTCGCGCTTGTATCGTAATGGTCTTTACATATTCGAACAGATGATGGTATGTACGTAGAGGCCCTCCGAGCGCGCTCGAGAAACAAAGCCGGAGATACAACACTAAAACAACAACAGCTCGTGTGCGCCTCCTCCTCCTCCCTCAGCCCGCCGAACCACGCGAGACAGCATCGCTTGAAGCCGGCCGCCGCCGCACCCCCGCGACGACACTCCAACGCGGCCGGAGCCGCTGCTCGAATCAGCGCGAAGCAGAGCCCGGGCGAGGTCCGCGCAGAACGGTCGGTCCAGCAGAGCACGCACGAGGCCATCCCGGGCGGCATCCCGGAGTCCCCGCTCGGCCACCGCCGCCGCCGCGCCGGCGGCGGCGTCTGCGGCAGCGGGGACGCCGTTGTCGGCTTCAGCGGCGGCGGCGGCGCCAG